GAAATAATCAAACAATAGTCCAATAATAGTCTGGGGACTATTTTTGGAGTATCTTTTGACCCTCTTGGGGTATTTTCTGGGTATCTTTTATTTTTCGTCGGCAATCCCCCTGTAGGGGGACACGCCCGACATAGGTCCAGCCCTGGGGGGGACGAAGGAGGCAGGGCCAGGCCAGGCCAGGCCAGGTGGGTTGTTTCTTGTTTTGGTTTGCCTGAAGAGGTTCGCTCTCGCCCCGCAGACCAAAAAAATGCTTCTCGTTTTGGCAGGGAGGTGAAGGAAAACAGTTAGCGCCAAACGAAGAACGAAACGAAAACAGAACGAGCATCAACGCTCAGGTCCAGCCCTGGGGGGGACGAAGGAGGCAGGGCCACGCCAGGGGGGAGGCGGGAGCGGCGCTCTTCTGCCCGCCGGCGCGGTTCCGGCGCGCTCGCGTGAGTCATTTTGGCTCGATCCACGGGGGCCCGCAGGACGCTGGGCACGGCGGGGGAGGGGAGAAAGGTATACGCCTTGCCGCGCCCTTCCCCTTCCTCCAACCTCGTCCTCAGGCTCCCTCCTCTGGGCTCCCCCCCTGTCGTCAACGTCTCCCCTCCCGTCCCCCGTCCAGCCCGGCGGGGGAGGAGAGAAAAGGTACACGCCTTTGCCGCGCCCTTCCCCTTCCTCCGACCTCGTCCTCAGGCTTAGGGGAACAAAAAGTGGCATAAACATAAAATCTCGGAGGTCCGCGCGGATTTCTCGGATCGGCGCTGGGGCCCCCCGGCGGCGCCTCCGGCGCCGCCCCTGGCGCGCTCCGCGCGCCAGGGAGGGGGGTCCAGCGCCGATCCGAGAAATCCGCGCGGACCTCCGAGTTTTTATGTTAATGTAACTTTTTGTTCCCCGAAGGCTCCCTCCTCTGGGCTCCCCCCTTCCCCTTTCTGCATGAACGAAGTGGGCACGGAAAGAATGGGTACGATGCCCAACAGCAGTTCCTGTTCATTTTGAACAGGACTCGCTGTCCACGCCGCCGCGGCCTGTGTACATTCGAGACAGAAGGCCGCCTGCCCAACAGCGGCCCTTGTTGGTTTGCGACAGCATTTGTTGTTGGGCATTGTACCCATTCTTTCCGTACCCATTTCGGGCGTCCAAACCCTTCCTCCAACCTCGTCCTCAGGCTCCCTCCTCTGGGCTCCCTCCCTGCCTCGCCGATGTCTCCCTTCCCGTCTCCTGTCCAGCCAGGCGCCGACGCGTGCAGCCGTGCCCAGGGGCGCTTCGCAGGGCGAGGTCTCTGTCGCCTGCTCCTGGGTCGGGCTGCAGCTTTTGCTTTTGGCCCAAGGCGTGCAACTCTGCGCACGCTCCTGCAACGTGATACCGCGTCATCAAAAACCTCCCTTTCCACTGCCTCCGATCAGCGGACGAAGGACTGCTTGAACTATCTCTTCCGCCATCGGGCCTCGGGGTCCAGGACCTTTCCCTTTCAGGACCTTCGTCCTTGCACCTTTCCCTTTTAGGATCTTCCTTTTTTTATGCCAGGTACGCCTGGGGTCCCAGCGCTGTCAAGGCTCGTGGCCACAACCAAGCCCCCTTCGCGGCCGTCAGGCCCGCTCGCCGCACGCGGCTGTGCTTCTGGGTGTTCTGTGCCGTGTGCGTTCCAGGCCACGCGCCGGAGCTTCAGTCCGCCAACCGGTGCGAGGTGGTGCTCGCTGTGCTCGGTCGGTGTCCGCGCGACCAAGACGTGGCCGAGAGGTTGGCACTGTTCTGCCACGGCCGTCCAGTACTCGGGCGGCGCACGACGTGCTCAGGACTTCGCTTCACGACGAGCACTTCTCAGGGCAGTCGTGTTGGGCGTGCGCTGCCAGAGACCGCGCTTGTGCCAACCCGACCCGCTCTGGGACCACCCGCTCCTGGACCGTGCAACCTTTGGGGGGCGTTCCACTGCCCAGGGCGTCTCCGCTAGGCGGTCCAGAACGCCCCAGGAGCCCGAGATACAGGCCTCGGAAGAAACTAGCGAACATTCATGCCGTGTTCATCTGTCGCAAAGGGGCATCCAAACACACAGCTCCCGTAAGATGTACGTGGCATGGCCCTTCTTGCCCACTTTCGTTGTCTCGAACATCGCTGTAGGCCATTCTGCTTACGGCGCCAGGCCTCCCGCAATACTTGCGTGTACCACCACCAAACGCAATGCCAACCAGGCTGGTCTTCCGAAGACCCATTGGGAGTCGTGGGGTGCAGATTACCCAGCGGATGCGCAGGGTTCTGGCCATGACAATGACGCAGCCAGGTGCACCGAGTGCGCCAGACGCGACCGGTGCGTCTCAGTCCATTGGCACCTCATATTTCACGCATCGCTCACATCGCTCGTCCCATCGGACCTCCTTTTTCATGTATCGCTCGTATCGCTCGTTAAAGAAAAAAGAATTCTTTCTCTTTCTACGAGCGATGCGAGCGATGCGTAAACAATGAAGGTCCGATGGGACGAGCGCTACGAGCGATGCGTGAAAAGTAAGTTGGGGCACGACAAAGGCCACCCCAGAACGGCCAGCGCCGGTTGTACAAGAATCCGCAGCCGCTGCTGCCCCGTCAGCCCTGGCGCCCGAGCGACGAAGCTTAGCCCCGACTGACCCGCGGAGCGCCCGTGGCACGTCCCCCGCCGCAGCCGCCCAGCGCTACCGACGGCGGGCTAAGCAGAAGCGCTTAGAGCGGGTCTATCTGGAGGCCTCCCCCGAGGGATGCCCGCAGGCTTCGGAGGAAACTAAGGCTTCGGAAGAAACTAGCGGACGCCCGTGCCGAGCTTATCTGTCAATGCCCCCGTCAATCATCAACGCTGGCGTTACGACCTGCACTTCGACCGCAGTCTAACCCGCGCGTGCCAATTTTGATTTTTTGGGGGCGGGGGCGTGCCCACTAATTGTTCTCTTCTACCGTAGCTGCCACTTGTCAGGGTGCGCACAGACAGACGTGCGCGCCTCAGTCCGCGTCGCCAGCCTCGCGCGCTTCGAACATTCGTGAATGCGTGCTCTCGGTCCCAACGTGAGCGACGGAGGAAACGTGGGTTGTCTTCGCAGACATCGGCGCGCAAGCTGCCCGTGTAGGGGCGCGCTCAAGCGCCTTCCTTTCCAACGTTGCGTGCAACGATGGCGGCCCGCGCGAACCATTGCGTGCGGTCGCTGCATGTTTTTCGCGCGAAGCCCGCATTTTTTTCGTCGCTCGCGTGAGTCGTGCGCGCACGTCCTTGCTTTTCGCCAAACTGACCTTTGGTGCGTGCCCACTGGGGTACCCCGATCGCAGGGCACGGTGCGATAGTATCGTGTTGTGCGCTCGGGTGTTGCCCCTCCCCCCTCCCCCTCTGCGGCCCCCCGAAGACCCGAAAGCCGCGCGCCAGAGGCCACTTGCCCAGGGCCACTTCTGCGTGCAGCCGTTTTTTTTTTCGCTCCCAAGCTGCCTTGCCTCCGCGGAGGAGCGGCCCTGTGCACCAGCGTCGGCGATGAGGCCGTGACAGGCGTCCTCGACGGCGCCCTTCCGGGCGCGCCCCTTCGCGGGGTAGCCCGCGCGCCGACCGCCCCGGCGCCGGGCCTGCGCCTGCAGAGCAGGCCTGGCTTTTCCATGTTCGAAGGGATGCCAGCACCGGCGTCGGGGTCTTGATCGAGCGAAAAACACACGAGGAGGCCACGACGCGCCAAAGCCGTTCCGGCAGCTCCTCCGACACAGGAAGACCGGGAGCAGCGGCAACAGCGGCCAGAAGTTGTCTCGCGAGCGTGACCGAAACTCGGGCCATCGATTCGGGCAAGGAGGAAAAGTCGGATGCGCATCTCCCAGCGTCGCCGACGCCGTGAGCAGAGGGTGTTGAGTACTCTGCACAAGCGCGCCCCGCCCGCCAAATGGCCCCCAAAGCGGACGACCCGGGAGAGCGACGGCGGGCATCGATGCTGGGTTCACCACGTGGTCCACTTTGATCCGGTCGGCCCGATTCGAGATCCGCTTTGGCAGGCCCGACCCAACTCGGTTCCCACACTCCGACGATCCGATGGGGCACGTCGCCGTTGTGCATCCTGGCGCAGCCGTTCCGACCCAGCCCGACCCGAGGCATATTCCGATTCGATCTGATTTCCCGATTCGATGGTGCGTGTTCGTGCCACCGCCATGGCCGAGTATTCCATTGTCAGGCGGGCGAGTTGGCCGCTCAGGCCACGACCCAGCACAGCATGCCCCCCCCGCCGTTGTGGTTGCATCCCGAGCCAGGCCACAGACGGGCCGTTGTGTTGCAGGATGCCCCTCATTCGAGCTCCGCGCGAATTTCTCAGATCGGCGGCGCGCTCTGCGCGCCATTGAGGGGGTTCCAGCCTCCTCCTTTGTTGCTCTCCCTTGCCTACTGTGGGTTCGTGCCTCGCTGACCCGGCGGCGACCCAACGCGGGCGTTCCAGTTCGAGCGCCGCCAGTGGCTTGAAAGCGGCCGATGTCAAGCGATCCGCATTTTGGGAAAGTTGGGAAAGTTCAAGTCTGCACGATCCACGCGGTGTCAGAAACCAACGCCGACATCATCACGACACGAGGCTGCGTTGCCCCTCCTTTCTTCTCTCTTGATCCACTTCCTCCCTTTCTTCTCTTCATCCTGCTGCTACTCCTGTCCCGCCTCCTCTTTCTCTCTCCCCCCTATCTTGTCTTCTCCCTCCCACCCCCCCCTCCCCCCTTCTCCTCGCCTCCCCCCTCCTCGTTCCCTTCTCTTCCTCCGCCCTGCGCCCCCTTGCTCTGCTCCCTCCCCTCCCCCCTCGCCCTCTGTTCCTCCCCGTCCCCTGCCCGCCAGTTCCCTCCACCCCTGTTCCCTCCCTTCCGCCTCCCTTCGAAAGGCGAGGCACGCGTGCAATCGGACCGAGGTATAAGATCGAGGTCGGTTCGGGAAGGGTACCCTGGTGTTTTCCGTGCTTGGTGGATGTTCTGGTTGCTTCGTGGGGAGGGTTAACTTGGATGTTTTGTGCGCTTTGGCCGGCGGAGGGTCCCATGTTCTTGGAGGATGTTCTTCTGGCCTTAGGTCCGACTGCACGCGCCTTTTCCTGCTCCCCGCCCAGCTGCGGCGATGTGGCACAGGCCTGCCGCTGCAGGAGGTCGCGGCGTTTCCGCGCCTGCCTGCAGGCGGTTGGAAGGACAAGACTTGCGAGCACCCTCGGGCGTCGCGGAGAGGCCCACAAGTCGCCCTCCGGGCGTGCCCGTGGCCCCTGTTCTCCTTGTCCTGTCCCCTCCCCCCCGACCCTTCACTCGCTCGTGTTCCTCTCGCTCTTCGCTCTCCCTCCTGCCTCCTTTCTCCGTCGTCATTTTGGTCCAAGAGGTGGCGGGAGCCAACTTGCATACCTCTTGATGCTAACGCGTGTTTCGAGAAGGTCTCATCGCGCTCCGCGAGGCCACCATCAGGCATGGGGGATTGTGGAGATGAGCCAAGCGCTTGCAGCCATGCGGATGCTCAGCCGTGCGACGCGTCTTTCTTGCTGGTCATCCGGTCATCTGGGACCACGCCCACAACTTGTATGAAGTCCCCAGTTCGACCAGGCCATGCAGAAGTTGTATTTTGTTGATTAACAAGTCTGCGAGTGTGCCAACACGGATGCAAGGCAAGATAGGTGAATCTCTAGGGGTTTCCAGAAGGCTTCTGGGGACGACCGTTCAAATCTTCGCCAGAACGTTCCCAGAAAGGCTCCAAGGAGCATCTCTCCAGGTATTCTTGGAGAGGCTCCAGGGGGTCGATTCTGGTCTTCGCCGAAATTTTACCAGAGAGGCTTCTGGGAACATCTCTCGGGGTGTTCTTGGAGAGGCTTCCAGGGGCGTTGGTTCCAGGCTTTTCTCGAATGTTCCGGGAGAGTCTTCTGGGAGCATGTCCAGGTCTCGGTAGATGTGCACATTAGCCCAGGTCCCACCCGCGAATGTCGCAGTTAACGCTATGTGCGCATTCTACTGTACCGGCCGCGTCAAAGCCCAGTCTGCCATATGCGACGGCTCCACTTAGCGATTGCTGCTGCGCTACCAGCGAATGCGATGACTTCCCGTTGAGGCGTTGGCAGGGTGATTTGCGGTTTATGGACGATACCGAGATCGTCCTGCCCTAAGAGTTGGCCTGGGCCATTGATAATGTCAGGGGCACGGTCGCCCATATCCTTGTCTCTACCTTCTTGCTGCCTCCAGAAGCCGCACTGCCCGCTGTATCCATCTCCTTTCAATGCGCTGTGCGGCCTTGTGAAATTCTAATGTGGAGTCCAGCCTGCCCGCGGTTTCTTCCCCCGAGTCCCGAAAGCACGAACGGCAGTGCAATTTGTGACGCCACAATTGTCTCGTAGATACTCCCCTTGATGTGTACGTCCACTTATGTGCTGGTTAGTAGGTCTAGCGGTGCTGCCTTGCGTGAGGATGCCACGAGATCAGCTTTGCTCGCATCTGTGGTCAGCACCCGCCTGGCATGTGTTGTCACCATGTCTTACTTTTTCGGCGGACGTGCCCGTGTGCGAGCCTGAGCGCTTCTTTGGAATGGCGGCCACAGCGACCACGACTCTCGTCGACGTCTCGCTGTGTTTGGCGGCGCGCGTGTTGGGGCATCGCGAGGGGGGGTTGGTCTGCCAAGAAGGCGGGGGGCATCTCAGAAGGCAGGGGCCCTCTCAGGAAAGGCCCGCCAAAAGGGCCTGGGGGCTTCTGCGAAACCGTCACTCGAAGCCTGGCGGGCTTCTGAGGAGGCCCCCTGCTCTCTACCTTCGCATGAGGCCGCCCCCCTTCGCGCCATATCCCCATACCCGCCGCACGGGCGTGCACAGAGTCTGTCGTCGTCGCCTAGCGCCCCTATGCGTTCCGCGGCTGCTGGGGTCAGGCCCACCCGCGGGGCATGCAAAGGGCTCGGCCAAGGGGTCGTCCATGGCCTCCCTGTGGTGGTCATGCCACGTCACCTCGCCCTGTGCTCGCTCGCTTGAGTTGCCGCCCTCGCCTTGTGCTTCACCAGCGGGCGACCGATCCCCTGTGCTGCACCCCCCTTTGGCCCCCAGGCTGATGTCAGATCGCGTTCAGTATGACCTGACGCCCCCGCGAAAGGCAGGCTTTCAAAGCTGTGCGCGCGGGACCGCACGGAGCGCCCGCTCGCGTCTCTCGCCGGTTTCTCTTGCCGCCGTGTATTCCAGCTCTGTCCGGTCTGCTAGAGATCCCCAGGACGCCCGCGAGCTCCTGTGTTCGCCAACGCCGCCGCTTGCGTAAAGTGCTGCATGCTCTGAGCGTGCAGCCCTCGCTCGCCTTCCGCCGCGGCCGCTCTCCTGCTTCTGCGGCAGGCCTGGCGCGCAGCCAGCTCTGCCGAGCCCAGGCTGTTGCTGCCCGACGCCTCTCGTCCAGCGTCGCCGCTGGCATCGACTTGCCATTGCCAGCGCAGCTCCTCCCTCCTCCCTCCTCTTCCGACGGTTGGAGGCTGACGTGGTGGTCGGTGTCGGTAGACGGGCCGGGTATAGATGCACGGGGTGACCCTCCCCCAGGAATGGCGGAGGTGGAGCCCCTTTTTCAGGGCTTCGGGGCGCCTCCCCTGGGGAGGGGGTTTAGGTCGTGGTGGGATTGGGCCCCCCCTCCCCTCTCAGTCTCGCCGTGGTTCACCCCCCCGCTGGGGTCGCAGGCCGGTGGTCGTCCCAGGCGCCGTATTCACGCTGAGGGCGAGCGTCTAACGTTTGTTTTGTTGATGGGCCCTGGAACCTCACGTTTGTCTTGCGAACATCTATCGTGCGTTTTGTGGACGGCTTCTGGAGCCTCACGTGTGTGTCTTGCGAGCGTCCATACCTTTCTGTGTGGCCTCTGGAGCCGCTCTTGCTGTTTCAATGTCCTCCCCTGCGGCCTCGCATGCCTGAGGCGAGGATGAGCCTGCCTGCCGTAAGGGCGGTTTCGACCGTCGGGCCCAAATGGCCTCGGCGCTCACCCAGCAGAAATGGCTTGATCTTGAGTCGGGCCTGTCCCTCTGCAGGGGGAATATTCTAAAATAGTTTTAAAAATTGCCTGGGGACTTCTTTTTTGGACTATTTTGGAGCATTTTTTGGCTGATGTGTATGTTTCGTTTAAAAACCCTCCTGTAGGGGGGACAGGCCCGACCTAAGCTTGATCCTTCTTTCATGGACGGCCGAGCCGAGCCCTCTTCGGGCCAGGGTGGCTGGTCGGGGCCGCGGCTCTCTCCTTGAGTCGGGCATTTCCTCCTGCAGGCGGGTTTTGGAAGAAGAGCAACAAGTAGGCAAACATGTTCTAAAGCAATCGGAAGCAGTCGAAAAATCGTCCCCAGACTATTTTTTGACTATTTCTGAACATTACTCCTGTAGAGGGACGTGCCCGACTTCACGCTCTCTCGGCCCGCTGGGTAGGGCAGCCATAAGCCGTGCCCTACCTGCTCTTGAGGTCTGGCACCTCCTCCCTGTGGCAGTTCTGCTGCCCCAGATTGAGCCAAGGGCTGGACCCAAACGCTGTTTTGCTGGACTTCGGCCGTGTTTTGTTCCTCGTTTTGGCAGGGAGGTACAGGAAAACGGGTAGAGCAACCCGAAAAGCAAAACGGAAACAAAACGAAAAGCAACGTTTAGGTCCAGCCCTGGATGGCGCTGTGGTTCCAGATGGGCCCGCTGGCCCGGTCGATCCCCTCCTGCCTCCTCTCCTCCTCCCTCGTCGTCGCCCGCTGGCGTTCGCTCTCCTCGTCCTCCTCGTCCTCCCTCCTCTCTCCTCCCTCCGGTTCACTTCCTCCCTCCTCGCCCTCTTTCCTCCCTCCTCCCTCCTCTTTCCTCATCATCATCTTCCTCATCATCATCATCCTCATCATCATTATCATCATCCTCATCATCCTCATCCTCATCCTCCTCGTCATCGTTATCATCATCATCATCATCATCATCATCATCATCATCATCATCATCATCATCATCATCATCATCATCATCATCATCATCATCATCATCATCATCATTATCATTATCATTATCATTATCATTATCATTATCAGTATCACTATCATTATCATCATCATCATCATCATCATCATCATCATCATTGTCATCATCGTCATCATCATCATGCTCACCATCATCATGATCATCATTATCACCACCACCACCAGCACCACCATCATCATCATCATCATCATCATCATCATCATCATCATCATCATCATCATCATCATCATCATCATCATCATCATCATCATCATCATCATCATCAACATCAACATCAACATCAACATGAACATCAACATCAACATCCTCCTCCTCCTCCTCCTTTCCTGCCTCCTCTCCTCCCTCCTCCCTCCTCGTCGCCCGCTGGCGCTCGCTTGCCTTGCCCTTCGTCGGTAGTCCGGCCGCCCGTCCGGCAGCGGGTGCCGACCAGAGCCGCCGCGGGTGGCCTCGCCGGCAGCGGGTGCCGACCAGAGCCGCCGCGGGCGCCTCCAGCGGGTGGAGGGGGGGGCGGTTGCACAGGGCAGGCGGCGTGCGAGGGGAATGGTGGCGGGAGTGGAGGCCATTCTCGGGCCGAACGTAAGGGCAGGATAGGGAAAGAGGGGCGGTACGAAATCTGCTGCATGCAGCTGGTTTCGGCCCCGCCGCTGGGCCCATGCCTCGATACATGGGCGCCTCCCGGTGCCAGGGCGCCAGGAAACCAGCTACGTGAACTGATTCTCTAGCCTGCCTCTTTGCTATTCTACCCTTCCGTCCCCCCCGACATTCGCTCGTGGGGAGGGAGGGCTTAGATGTTCACTCGGGGCCTTCCTGAGGCCCACTCACGGATCTGTTCGACTCCAGTTCGGCCCTGGGTCGGCTCCAGTACGACTATGGCCCGACCCAAAGTCGAGTCAAGTTCGGCTCAAATCGACGGACGTGCGCTGCAGCATCTGCGCATGACTGGAGCGAGTGGCTCCAGGAAGGCCCCCAGAACGAGTATGTAAGAGGGCGAGTGGGGCAACTTCGCGCGAAACAGAAAAGCGGCATACACACAGAGTCTTTGAGGTCTGCGCGGATATCTCGGACCGGCGCGCCCAAGTTTGTGATTCAGCTGTTTTGTTGCCATAGGCGTATCGCGCGTGCATGGTCGGACGGTGTTTTTTTGGTTTCCCCATGTCCCATCATCGCGAGAACCGCTCCCACCCCCACTGGGACGGGGCGAGTGCGCTTTCCCAGCGTACCCTTAAGTCGGGCACGTTGCTCTACAGGAGGAATATTCAAACTAGTCAGAATTACAACTATTTTAACATGCTGATGATGATGCTGATGCTGATGCTGATGCTGATGATACGGATGATGATGATGATGATGATGATGATGATGATGATGATGATGCTGCTGACGATGCTGATGCTGATGCTGACGATGATGCTGATGATGATGATGTTGATGATGCTGATGATGATGATGATGATGATGATATGATGATATGATGATGTGATGATGATGATGATGATGATGATGATGATGATGATGTTGATGTTGATGATGACGATGACGATGCCGATGACGACGATGATGATGATGCTTATGCTGATGATGATGCTGATGATGATGATGATGATGATGATATGATGATATGATGATGTGATGATGATGATGATGATGATGATGATGATGATGCTGCTGCTGATGCTGATGATGATAATGATGCAGATGCTGATGATGATGCTGATGATGATGCTGATGATGATTATACGGAATATGATGATGATGCTGCTGCTGGTGATGATGGTGGTGGTGGTGATGACGATGATGTGATGCTGATGATGCTGATGATGCTGCTGCTGCTGCTGATGATGATGATGATGATGATGATGATGATGATTATGATGATGATGATGATGATGATGCTGATGCTGCTGCTGCTGATGCTGCTGCTGCTGATGATGATGATGATGATGATGCTGATGATGATGATGATGATGATGATGATGATGATGATGATGATGATGATGATGATGATGATGATGATGATGATGATGATGATGATGATGATGATGATGATGATGATGATGATGATGATGATGATG